CCCCTACCTACCTCGTCGTTCTGCTTCCTTAGCGTAACCTCTGCTTCCCCATCTACGGGGCCACTTGTTGGCCCTACCTTGGATAAACCGGACAGCGGTTGCAGACACCAGCGTTGGGGCAGGACAAACCTCTCCCAGCCCTAGTTGAAGCACTATCGAGCGAGCCTTGTCGCGCAGGCACTTTGGTCGCCAAGCATGATCGTCCTGCACACTGTTTTTTTTTTCTTTTTTTTATGAACACCATCCTGGGTTGATCAGACAGCGAATATTCCTTAGAGCCTTCCCTAGGCAGTGTCTACTGGTTCTACCCTGACCAAGGTCGTGCCTGAGACAGCCCTTCTGACCCGACCCGGGGGCCATGTTCCTAGCATAATAGCCTACTATTATTGCTGTATTAGGGGTGTGTTATTGTTCATGCTGAGGAGCCATGGTTGTCGATCCCGTAACCCGCACCAGTTCGCCGCAGGGCCGATTCCTGCCAGGGAAGACCTCCGTCCCATCCCCCCCTTGCATCCTCTGTCGGTTATTATTAGTCACGAGTTATGATCCCCGGCCAGTCCAGTACTGAATGTTTCCACGGAGCCACCCTAGGCAATGTCTTACCTAAGTCAACCCTAGACCAGTCCTATTGGGGTGGCTATTGGGGTTATGTTACAGTTGGTATGAGTACCACTCTGGGCCAGTCCAGAACCGAATGTTTCCTTCTGACGTTGTCGTCTCTGTTTCAGTGCTGCAGGGGCAGATTCGGGACAACTTGCGACACCTTTTTGGTTGGGTCTGGTCCACGACCTACTTGGGACCTTCTGAGACTCAGTGGGACCAGGTCCAACAAGAAAGGACCCCTTGAGGGTAGTTGCAATTCTCTGTTGTGCTGGAGCTGAGGGACACACGGCTGGTTGGAACACTCACTTTCGAGTGGATCTTGATTGGGTTTCTCTACAAACGCTAACACACCACCCCATGTCTGGCTCGCGACCGTCAACACTCCTCGAAATCTCCATTGCTTCAATTAGTTGTTCCTTTCTCTGATCTATCTGTTGGTACATGATCTGTGTTAGGTTAGGACAAGAGTGGATCTTGTGTATGATCTCACCAGACCGGTTCGTTAGATCAGACCTCTCTTTGAATTTTGGTTTCCCTGTGCAATGTTATTCTCTAGTCCAAATGAATTGCCGCTCCGGCGAGTTCTAACTTTCCTCTTGTGATTTATTTTCTTCTTTTATCTGAATTATCCTGATGCCCACTGTGATGCATGTGCAAGAGAGAGAAAGAGAGAGGAGGGAGAGAGAAGGTATTCCTTTTGAGAGTGTGAGGGGCAGGAGTGTTCGACTAAGGAAAGTGAGGACCGGACCCCTCTTGAGAGATCTACTAACATCCTATCCCGCAACATCATATGATGGCAGACATAACTTCGGACTAATGGAGGAACAAAAACCGCTCTTTCAAAAAAACTCTATGACGTGGCACTAAAGAGGGAGAGGACAGCAGCGGAAGAAACATAGGCAACAACAATTCCTACCCAAGAGGCCCTTCCGACGATCCCACGGCCAGGTGAGGAACGGCTTAATGAGTAGATGGCCTCCCCAATCGCAGCC